AAATGCAGATTTCCACGGGTAGATTGCGAAAATCCACACGTGTGGCTGTAAAGAACATAGGGAATCCAGGCCAGATGCGTTTTCCAGGCCCCGAAAAACGCATCCGTGTCGGTCTTGACACCATTACGCACAGAGCTGGAATGGCAGCTGCAAGACAAGCCGGATGCATTTACCAGCCCTTGGAAAACGCATCTGTGTCGGTTTGGACCAGGATAGCTTGATGTGTGCTAAAGAGATCTGAATACTATAAACCCAAAGCAAATGCAGATTTCCACGGGTAGATTGCGAAAATCCACACGTGTGGCTGCAAAGAACATGGGGAACCCAGGCCAGATGCGTTTTCCAGGCCCCGAAAAACGCATCCGTGTCGGTCCTGGCACCATTACTCACAGAGCTGGATGGCAGCTGCAAAGCAAGCCGATGCATTTACCAGGCCTTGGAAACGGCATCGTGTCGGTTTTGACGCATGATAGCTTGAATGTTTTGCTAAAGAGATTTGAAATTCGCCATAATCCCAAAGCAAATGCAGGGTTTCCCCACGGGTAATTGCGAATAATCCCACACTGTGTCTGTAAAGAACATAGGGACTCCAGCAGATGCGTGTCCAGGCCCCGAAACCATCCGTACGGTCTTGGCACAATACTCATGAAGTGGAATGGCGAAGCTGCAAAGCAAGCCGGAATGCTGTACCCACGCCTTGGAAAGTCAACCGAAAGTGCATTTTACCAGGCCTTTGGAAAACGCATCTGTGTCCGTTTTTGCCCGGAAAGGTAGCTTGTGTGTGTTAAAGGATTTGAATGCCATCACCCAAAGCAAATGCAGGGATTTCCCCCCCCCCACGGGTAGATTGCGAAAATCCACACGTGTGGCTGTAAAGAACATAGGGAATCCATGCCAGATGCGTTTTCCAGGCCCCGAAAAACGCATCCGTGTCGGTCTTGGCACCATTACGCACAGAGCTGGAATGGCAGCTGCAAAGCAAGCCGGATGCATTTACCAGGCCTTGGAAAACGCATCTGTGTCGGTTTGGACCAGGATAGCTTGATGTGTGCTGAAGAGATTTGAATACCATAAACCCAAAGCAAATGCAGATTTCCACGGGTAGATTGCGAAAATCCACACGTGTGGCTGTAAAGAACATAGGGAATCCAGGCCAGATGCGTTTTCCAGGCCCCGAAAAACGCATCCGTATCGGTCTTGGCACCATTACGCATAGAGCTGGAATGGCAGCTGCAAAGCAAGCCGGATGCATGTACCACGCCTTGGAAAAGGCAAGCCGAATGCATTTACCAGGCCTTGGAAAACGCATCCGTGTCGTTTTTGACCCAGAGGTAGCTTGATGTGTGCTAAAGAGATTTGAATACCATAAACCCAAAGCAAATGCGGATTTCCACGAGTAGATTGCTAAAATCCACACGTGTGGCTGTAAAGAACATAGGGAATCCAGGCCAGATGCGTTTTCCAGGCCCCGAAAAACGCATCCGTGTCGGTCTTGGCACCATTACGCACAGAGCTGGAATGGAAGCTGCAAAGCAAGCCGGATGCATTTACCAGGCCTTGGAAAACGCATCTGTGTCGGTTTGGACCAGGATAGCTTGATGTGTGCTCAAGAGATCTGAATACCATAAACCCAAAGCAAATGCAGATTTCGACGGGTACATTGGGGATCCAGGCCAGATGCGTTTTCCAGGCCCCGAAAAACGCATCCGTGTCGGTCTTGGCACCATTACGCACAGAGCTGGAATGGCAGCTGCAAAGCAAGCCGGATGCATTTACCAGGCCTTGGAAAACGCATCTGTGTCGGTTTGGACCAGGATAGCTTGATGTGTGCTAAAGAGATTTGAATACCATAAACCCAAAGCAAATGCAGATTTCGACGGGTAGATTGCGAAAATCCATACGTGTGGCTGTCAAGAACATAGGGAATCCAGGCCAGATGCGTTTTCCAGGCCCCGAAAAACGCATCTGTGTCGGTCTTGGCACCATTACGCACAGAGCTGGAATGGCAGCTGCAAGGCTAGCCGGATGCATTTACCAGCCCTTGGAAAACGCATCTGTGCCGGGTTGGACCAGGAAAGCTTGATGTGTGCCAAAGAAATCTGAATAGCAGAAACTCCAAGCAGACGTAGATGTCCTCTGCTAGTTTGCGAAAACCCACACGTGTGGTCGAAACCAATCCTTCTGGCCTTTGCTGGGAGGTGGCAGCATGACAAGGACGCTGAAGAAGAATGCGTCTTCGGGCGGCCGACCCTCTGCAACTTTGCTTCATTTTTGTTTCGGTTTGGAGGCTGCAGGTCTTCTCCTGTCTTTGCCAAATTGCCAAGGCAGGGACGACGAAGGACGTCGAATGGAAGGGTCGCTACGGTGGCCAGAACAGAAACGCCATCTCACAGATGGCGATTCTGCCGACGTCGAACGAGCCCATGATCCCAGCGGCCTTGTTCAAGAAGCTCAGCAAGGACCCGAGCAACAGCCGGTAATTCTGGAGTGTCCTTTGCCTTTCATTGCCAAGGGTCCCCAGCTCATCTGTGTAGGACATCTTGGACCGACTGCACAAGGAACGAAGGAGTCCGAACTACAAGGATGAGCTCCACTCGGGCAGATCCGAAAAAGAGAATGACCAGCCGATCAGTCTTTCTGAGGAAGGCAGCAGAACTCTTCACCAAGCTGCCGAGGTCTGCTTGTATTGGTGCCATGCAGTAGTAGCCGCTGTGTGTGTGTCTGGTGTGTGTCGCAGAGGGCTTGTGTGCCACACTGGCCATTCTGCACTCCTGCTTTGATCCGTGTCCTTTGGGTCTGCTGCTCTGGCATTGGTTTGGTAGTGCTCTGGCAGGAGTACCTGAACTCCATGCTGGTGCGGGCTTGCATGGCGACGCTTCACGCCAAACGCATCACCACAACGGTGGCCGACCTTCGCTTCGTCATCCAGCTCGACCAGATGAGCACCGGGCAGGGCATTTCGGATCCCTCGCGGCATCAGGTTCCTGTTCGTCGTGTTCGTCAAAAGCGGAAAAGCCCGTGACATCCTTCTCCTGAAGCTCTTGCCGAAAAGGCCGTGGTATCAGGGTTTAGATAAGAGCATGAGGGTGCAGCTGCCAATCCTTAGCGGCGATCTCGCCCAGTCCGTGAATTTCTTGATTGCCATGATGTCGTGGGGTTGGGATTGAGCTGGTTTGTGCCGACTTCAGACAGTCTCCACTCCTCTTCTGCATCCCGTTGTCCTTCTCTTTTGCCTGCATTCAGCCAAAACTGGAAGGTGGATCGGTGGATGAGTTGCAGATGCTGGGGCTCGCCGTGGCTCGCCACCCTTTGCCTTGGACGGCCACGATTTTGTGTTCTTTTGCTGATTGCACAAGGCAGCATGACATCTTTCCTAGTCATATCACGTAGCAAAAAGGCTCTCGCGGGAGTTTGTGCAGTAAGCCAGTGACTGCAGACATGCAAAAGCCAGTGAGTCTGCAATGTGAGGGAAGGAAAAGTGTCTTTTGAATGATATTGCCACTCTGCTGTGTCAGCAGTTTCCTCGCAAAAGGCCTTATGCTTGCTCGCTTGCGCCTTGTCGAACATCAGGTCCGACTCATTGCTTCCGCTGGAGCCTCTGCTGTCGGCTGTCTTCCTCGAAGCCAGAGTTTGTGTTGCCACGGTCACACCGCTGAATCATGTCTAGAACTACGCTGAGATGCACTGATGCAGCACGTCACGCTGATTCCTGGGGCAGTTCTTCTTTTCATCCGTCGATGCGTTCAGCTGCAGTAATACCAGGGCTTTCAAAGCATGGCGGCCGGTGCTACATGACATTCATGAAGGAGCATTTCCAAGACTGCACGGCATAGGGCATCAAGAATGTCAGAATGCACGGCGACGTTCACTTGCTTCGCTAGCAGTGGTCTGCTTCTACATGATTCTAAATTTTCGTCTGAGCGCTCCTGGATCCTGTAGTAGTGTGTGGGACGCTGCTGGAGCCATGCTGCGCCGGCAGAACACACAGCAGTCCATTGCATCCACGTCTTCCCAGCAGGCCTCGCCCCAGAAGTCCCAAGACCCCATGTCGCAGATGTTGGACAGTTGTTTGGACAACATGAAGGCCGGGCTGCATTGTTTCTGACATGGTTCAGGCAGTGCAAACTATGTGGTTGCTGCTGTGGTGCTGCCTTTCCACTTGTTTGTGTTTTGATACGAAGGGTTTATGGTGCAGGAAAGCATGGCCAAGAGCATCTTGGGCAAGAATGCCAAGAAGAAGGACAAGAAGAAGAAAAAGAAAGCGTCCTCCGACTCTGGCTCGAAAGAGGCCTCCGAGGAAGAGTTGCCAGAGCATGAGGTGGAGCGGCAGCTGGGTATCATCTTGGGTTTGAAGGGCAGGGCGCTCAAGCTGAAGTCAGTCCAGAAGTACGAAGACATGCTGTGTGATCTTGGGTTGCACTTATCTTCTGCTGTATCTATAGCGGTCTCGGTGACTGCATGTTCTATGCAAAGCGGGGCTTTTGTGTGTTCCGAAGCATTGAGGAGCAAGTGTGCTACATCCTTGCCGAGAGCCACAAGGATATCGGGTGTCTCACGGTTCTCGACCTCTGTGAACTCGGAGGTGAACACAAGACACTGGCTCTGAAGCACGAGGCCGCATGCAAGCTGCCAGCCAGGAAGAGGAAACAAGCCGATGCACAGGACAGAGAATCCTTCGAACGAGCTCAGAAGCTCGTTTCATGGTCGGATTCTCGTTGGAAGGATCGCCTCATGCAGCTCTTCGAGTTCCTTTCCTGTAGTGATCCGAGCGTCTTGTGCATTTCTCGTTTTTTCTTTGCTTCCATTCGCTGATTCATTCTGAAGTGTACTTCGTCTCAGGCTTTTGGTTGGGAAGTCACGGAAAACAACCGTGGTGGGCTTCGACACCATCGCACAGCTCCGCCAAAGCATCCTTCCCAGGATCAAGGACAGGGTGAAGTCCGGCGAGGCTGAATTCAAGACGCAGCTCCTGGATCTGCTCGCCAATTTGAAGAACGATGCAAGGACAGACCTGGGGAAAAGACATCGCCAAGAAGCCGAGGAAGGAGAAGGACGAGGGCAAGGCTGGGAACTCCGCCGTCTTCGACAAGTATCGGAAATCAAAGACTAAGCCCAACCCAGACGACGACAGCACAGACTGTGAGAAAAGCGAGGCCAATGATTCCGAGGCGACACAGGTGATGAAGGGCAAGCCTGCAGCGAACGAAGCAGAGTCCTCGGGCGAGGAAGGGAGTGCTCCCCAGCCGGGTGCTGTGCGTGATTGCCGACGCCGGCTTTTCGAGGGAGACGATGATGATTTGTTCGCCGGCGGGAAGTTCGGTGAAGCAGCTCTTGAGGATGGCAAGCCTGGCCAGCCTGAGCCTAAGCCGGGCGACGGAGAGCAGAAGAAAGTAAAGATCGGCAACGACGAGGAGAAAAAGGTGGAGCCGGCACCGGGGGCGCAGGCCCGTGGAAGTCCACCCATTGTCAAATCAGCTATGGTGCCGTATGTGGATTCGGAGGCAGGTTTCAAGTCGAATGCCGCACCTGTCCTGAACACGGCCCCAGAACGTGCCGAAGCTCCCGTGAACCTTGAGCTGATGGAGATGTTGTCTGAGGTCGTTTCTGCCCACCTTCCTCGGGAGCAGGTGTCTTGGTTGGAGGGTGGTTGTTTTCTCCACGGTGTGCAAACCCGAACACCTGGGTCAGGTGTTCGGGTTTAGAGTTTGTGCTTGAACTGAGGACGCTGCTGCTTTCTTCGATCTCCTATCTGCCTTGGGCTGCACAGATCCAGTGAGCCTCCTGTCCAAGCTGGACAACTTTGTCGCTGCGAACCATGCCAATTTCTTCATTGCCACTTCGGCCTCCCGACAGAAATTCCAGCGGCTGAGCTTCTCCCAAAAGCTGGCCGTTACCAATTCGATCAAGACCGTCATCGACAGCAAGGATAACTGAGTCATGCCGACCACTTTCCTCTCCTTTCTCGAATCCTGTTCATATTTCCTCCCGGCTATGTGTCTGTCAGGACATGTACAGAGCGGTCCTGGATGCAATGGAGGATGCAGCTGGCTTTGACGACGAGGCCGGCCACTTGGACCACGTGCCTCATCTTGTACTGCCTATGTTTCTGGGTTGCGGCGCTTGGGATGCTTGGGAACCCAGGAAATTTGGTTTCGGAGACCTCTCTCTCCTCTTTCACAGGTCGGCGGCCCGACGGCCCAGGACCTTCGGCATCCTCTCGGTGCTGAGTGACTGACGGCTGGACTGTTAAGTTTTGACTTTCGCGCATTCGGGAGTTTCAACGCACTCTCTCAGTTTTGGATAGCTCGCTCAGGAATATTTAGATTAATGCTGGTCGCAAAAAAAATTGGGAAAACCACGTCACTTGGAGGAATGTGATGTATGTGAACACACAGAAAACGCATCATGTATCCTTCTCCGCGAGTGATAGTTCTCTCAGAATCCACAGAATTTTTTTGTGGTGAATTTCTCAGCCCGCGGCCGAGGTCACCTTTGCAGCGGAGGAGTGACCGAGCTGCGGCAGGCCCGAACACAGAGTAAACCAAAGCTTCGAGTGTGCGTCTTCTGCGAATATTCATGCAGCTTGACCTTGGTACGTGATTTGGAGTTTGCTGGTGAGTTTTGCAGGTGGGCCCTGCTGCTCATTCCGATCGGTGCGGCAGCCGTGGGCCCGGAGCTTCAGCTCCTAGATTTGTCGGACTGCAAGCAGGCTTTCTTCCTTGTGGGTGCCTGACCATGACAGCATGACTAGAGCACCGTGTGTCGATGTGTCGTTGTCTTTTGCACGCTTGTGTCTATATCTGTATTTGATGGTAGATATCGCACACCCATTGACTATCTTGTGGTTTCAGTATTTCTTACCACGGTTCTGTATGGCTGCTGATCTTCGCACTTTGGTATTGCTGCTTGCTAGGCCACTAGGCTGCAAAGGATGTTCTTCAGCAACAGATGCATTCCGATCGTGTCGCTGCATTTGCTGCTTCTGTCCGATTGAGAAGGTCGTGTAATTCTGCTCCCAAGAACCACAGTCATGGAACCAACATAGGGGTCAACAGCACGACTGCTTCCGCCAGTGCTGTGCTCTGAACCGTGATTTGTCTGTAGTAGACTCCGGGAATCAGTCGAGGTCTCTCCCAATCATTGCTGCTACAGGGTCCCACCTGCAGTCTTCTGCCACAGCGGAGATACACGAACCGAGTGAGACTGTCCTTTATGCCGACATAAAAAAAACCTTCAGGTGCCAGTGTCAACACACGTTCCGGGGCTTCCGGCTCCTGGCCATCAACCGTGGCGGTGTGCCAGGCTGGTTGCACTTCGTGCGCATTTTGCTGGGCAACCCAAGTCCAGAAACAAATCAGAGTTTACCTCACCCAAGTTGTGTTTGAAAGGTTCGCGGCTTTGTTGCTGGAGTTCGAATGCAGCCGGCTTGTTCGGAACTTGGATTCAGCTTTGCTCCAGGCCTGTGTCGGCACACTGCAGCATGGCATGTCTTGATTTACCCGGTTCAGAGCAAGTTGCTTTTCAAGAAACCACCTGCTAGCTCGAAGTGTGAATGGCCAGTCCTAGGCCCTGGCTGTGGTCTGGCACATGGGCCGAGCTGAGGCTGACTTGCTTGGAATTCCAGGGTTGTGCTGCTCACGGGGATGGGCTTGGTGTTTTGGGGGTCATCGCATGTGCTGCTCGTGCTGCTTAGGCCTCGTTTGTTCGCAATAAGCTGACACGCATGCTCTTCTGTCAGGTCGCCGACAATGGTCAGATCGTCAGGATGCCCAGCGGGCACTTTTGCACATGGTTTGCTTTACTGATTGAGCCTGAGATTATTTGACTACAGTGCAGGAACCAGACAAGGATATTCGAACATTGGTAGAGGTTCCTCGATATCGGCCCTTGAGTCAAGTGTCATCGTCAGCTCGCATTTCGAGGCTTCCGGCTCCTTGCCTTTGACCGTGCCGGTGTGCCAGGCTGGGTGCACTTGGGCTACGTTTTGAATAAGGTCCTGGTCCAGAATCTTCGGAACAGAAATCGCTGGAGTCGTTTGTCCAAGGGTTGGAAGATTTGCTCCTGGAGTTTGAGTGCAGCCAGACTGCTTGGGACTCGATGCCGGCTTTGTTCCGGGTCTGTGTCGGCAGACTGCAGTATCTGTTGGCTTTGACTGAGAAGAGCCGCTTGCCGTTGAGAGTGATGGCTGTTGTCGGCAAACGTATTTATTCCCAGGCCCATGCCCTAGCCGTCGACGGACGGTGTCGAGTTGACCTTTGTTGGCCTTGTTGCTGGGGTCATGGCACACACAGCTGTGGGCATCGTTGCACACAGTCTCCATGGCTTGCCTTTGCAGAATCTTCTGACAGGTTTGGGACAAAGAGCTCGTTCAGGCTGCCCAGCAGTCGGTTTTGGAGGGGGTTTGTGGTTTCAGCCTCAGCTTATATCTGCGCCAGAGTGCCAGAGGGCAACATGAGAAGAATTGGCGGAGATTCGTAGCAGTGAAGACTTCGTACTGTACCCCCCCGCGAGTGCTATGCCTTGCCCGGCTTGCTCGCTTGCTCCCTGCTTAATATTTACCGCCCAGGAGTTGTGGTCGTTGCTGCCGCCAGCCAGGCCCACACCGCCATCGGGTCATAGCGCCTGAAGCCTGTCAGCGTGCCTGAAGTTTGCTGTTTGTTTCGTGTTGTTGTATCTGTGCACAAGCTTTGTTATTGTTCTTGGCATAGAGTAGAGGAAGTTGGTTCAGGTAGTTCGTGGATGTAACCACTTTTGTGGTTGGGCTAGTTGAAATGAGTCTGCTCACACACGTGGATAGCCTTTGCAATACACGAGGCTACTTTTCTTTATCTAAGAGGATGGGCCTCCTCAGCCACGGAGTTGATGTGTGTGTCTGTGTGTGTGTAAGTGCAACTTGGGTGCATTTGCACGGGTGGTTGGTTTGGGCCTCGAGGGACTGCTGGAGCCACTCAGGGGTCCTCGTTGTCCAAACAGGCAATTGAACCTGGGTTTTGTTGGCGCAAGATTTGCTTTTGTGTTCTTTCCCGGGCTGCTCTCTGCCAGGCATCTCTGCTTTGCATATCCTTCCAGCCACTCTGAGTCTTAACGTCCTGCACTGCTTGAAGTTATCGCCGTCATAGCCCAGTGATCTTGCCCAAACTGTCCCCATAATTTTGTGACTCAGCCCACATTAATTGTCACTAGCCTCGGCCTGGGACTGATTCATGTTGCATTGATGCAGGCCTCTTCCGGTGACATCCTTTGCAGCCAGTCTTGCTGCCGAGTTTTCGGCAATAAAACTCTGCTTCCCTGTTGTGCTGGTGGCAGTCCTTGAAGGGAACAGGGTCCAAGTTCTGAGGCAGGATTCCTTTGAAGAGTGTGTTTGCCAGACGGATGAATTCCTGTAGCCCTGGTCGGCTCTGCATAGGCTACATGTGACAATACAAGGGTGTACATCTGGATGAACAGACTTCCCTTTTGGCCACATGAACAAGTGTGCAGGCACCATTCGAGTGCATGTCAGCAGGCAGTCTTACGCATTCGAGCCAGCTGTGAGAGTACGACGCGGGGAAGTTTTTTGTGTCATGGGCAGTCCAGTGGGCGGTGATTGCCAGCAGTTGCGGCGAAATTTGCTGTAATGGAGACTCTCATGCAAGTCTTGATTGTGCTAATGTACGGGTGTGGTTTTGTAATTGAAGATAACGTCTTTTTCTTCACGCTGGCTGCTTTGGAGCCTTGCTTCAATCTTGCTGTCTGAGGCCAACATCAAAGATGCCATCTGCCAACTGCTGCAGACAAAGGCGGAACAAGGTGCCGCGACTTTCTTGCGGTGTCTGCAGATGTTCAAAGCAGCAGTGTCCAAGCAAGCCCCTTTGGCAACGCTCGGCAATCAGATTGTTGATGGAGATGTGCTGGAGGACTGCATTTCGGCGGTTCGTGCTGGCTGTGATTTCCCTCTGCCACCTCCCCTGCTTGAGGGCGGCCGTGAGGATAGCGATTTGGATAAAGAGATTGCTGCCGCTGTGGCAGAGCCTAGTCCTTTAGTCTCTGACGCACTGGAGATGCTTTTCCTACGATTGGAGCCTGACTACTTGACGGTGGTCAAGGCTTGGGCTCAACCTCGCAACTGCACTAGTGGAATGTAAAACATCGTAGCTTGCCCATAGTGTAAAAGTTCCGCAACAATGTCAGTCTTGAAGAGGTCCAGCCGACGGCGGAGCGGAATGTGGACGGCTACCAGCATCTGCTGTGTGTGAAAGACGTGTGGAGCCAGTTGAGCATGGCAACCAGCTTTTTTGCCTGGTACTCCAAGAACGAGAGCTCCGGCACACTCAAGCAGCATGCTGATTCCTGGGGGCTCAGTCGCAAGCACATAGTGCGACACGAGAACTACAAAGGCAGTCAAGAAGCTTTCACATGGCCGGGCTTGAAATATGACTGTGTCTCAAGCGCCGGCTTCCTGCTTCTGATTGGAACCCTGGCACAGATTCGTGGTTTGGCTGAGAACGTACAGAGCAGATGTGTCAGTCTGCTTCGTCGCATGACGGGACTCCTGGAGTTCTCAGACGGGCTGAAGCTGCTTCCCACTGTGACGTTGGCGGTCCAGGATGGCCAGGTCATGCTCAAGAGCTTTCTCAAGCTCTTCGACCGCGAGCTACGAGCCTCGCTGAAGCAGAGGCCTTTGGTCCTTTTCAAACTCCCTTTTCGTATGCTCGAGCATCATAAGTTAATATGTCTTTAGGCTGAGAATTGGATTTCCTTTCGCGGTTGGGAGCCCCTCCCTTCCGCTTTCTATGATTCAAATCTGTCTTCTCCTGCAGGTGGGAAAACTGCGTCGCTCTGGGCACAAGTCGCAAGAACCTGGGCGGGTACGTCCCTGTTGCAGATGTATGCTGGTTTCTGATGAGACTCCGAGCTGATTCAGATGGCCTTTCTCAGGTCCCAGTCACGAGGCTACAGAAACGCATCTTGCATATCTTGGCCCAGGCTTGGGAGAGCGGCATGTGCGATGGCTCCATACACCTGCGAGATACGCCACCGCGGCAGCAGGAGGAGCCAGGTCAGACGCCATGGTCGTCCGGGTCGCGAACCCGGAACGCGAACTTGGCGAGGCAAGAACTGTTGAAAAGATTCTTGGCCAGGGGCGGAGGCTTCGTGACTGGATTGAGAAATCGCTCCAATTCCGAGATCTGCCCTACAGACCTTGAGCTGCCGGGTACGCTGGGGAAAAGCTTGGGCGCTTGTGCTGCACACCAGTACTTGACCGGCTACTTTCTGGACGCCCGGAGTGCCTTGATGAAGAAGCTTTCCGTGCAGAAGTTTCGACACATGAGCATGTACGAGGATGCTGCGAAGGTCGGCACATACGAGGTATGGGCGTGATAGAAAACAACATCCTGTTTTCATAGTTTTGTTTTAATTTTGGGCAAGTTTGGTTTCGATGCGTTGGTTCAATCCCGTGTGGTCCAGGTGCTTCAAGTGCTGGTGTCCGCGGATGGCTTGATGATCTCCTCGCCCATCAGTTTGCTACCCCAGCTCAAAGAGACCACCGAGAGCAGTGCTGCAGAGAACTTGGCGAAGGCGGCAGAACTGGTGCCGAAGAAGGCATTGCAGGATCTCAAAGGCGCCAAGGCCTCCTGTGGCCCTGCGACTTTGAGTGCACCTGAGAAAGTTGCGACACGTTCCAAGCTCCTTGCAATCAATCATTCGCTCAATGCTCTGATTGATTATCGCCTGGCTGACAGCCTGCCGCCGCATGCTTTTCGGCCCTGCCGGAATGGGGAACGAAGGAGCACCGTTCACTGGAATGGATTGGACTTGCCCTATGTTTGGTCGCCGACAGGGGTGACCTGGCAGACAACCCAGTACCCAGGCTGGCAATCCATCCTGAGGCTGAACTGCTTGCAGGACGAGGGGGACGCAGCCGGAGCGTACCAGATGGCGCAAAATGGGCTGGCGGTGCTTGTCCACCGTGACACTCTACACAAACTACACAGAGAAGAAATTCTCGCTTCGTCAGAGGTGGCAGAGATTGCACTGGCACGCAAGCAGATCAACCTCGTCTTGAAATTCGACCGAGCGCCTTGGGCAACTTCTGCGTTTGGGCGTAGGCTGGCCGAAGCCAGAGACCGTGTGGGTGAAATCCCCACTGATCATCCCTTGATTGACATGGTCAGTGCCGGAATCATTTCCGACCTGGGGCTCTCGCCGGATGCTTCACCGGCTCAAGTCAAAGAGGCGATCCTTGCCTTTTGCCGCTCCAAGCGCGGCAGCACTGGTGCAGAGCACAAGACCGGCAGGTGGTGCGACCTGCTGGACTCCTTCCGCCGCTTGAGATCCGAGTGGCATTGCCGCCTGTTCGTGCTTCTATTTGCAATGATCTTGGAAGGAAGAAATCCGTGGAGTGCACTCTCCGAGAGCTTGGACAAGGCTGGCTCGGACGACGATGTTGCTCTGGCTCCCAAGGTCCTTAGGGATCCTTGGCTCCGAAGCTAATTTGTCATATATAAGTTTGGTGCATTACCGAAAATCAGATTGCTGTCCTTCTCATTCGGCATGGTGAAAAAATGCCGTGATTGTCATATTGCTCAGGTCTTGGTGCAGCCTCTCATCCTTGCCTATGGGAAGAGCATCTTTTATTGCCTCCAGCCTTTTCGAAGTTTCCAAGCAGCTGAGGCTGGCGGACTTTGGGGTTGGGTTTTTGGGTGGTTCAGAATAACAGTTCGGATTCATTTTTCAGTTTGAAGGGTGGGATCGGTTTGGCAGATGCCAGGTGCGAGAAGATAAGTCCGTGGAGGGAAGTCTCCGTCTTCGTTCGTACGTGGTCAAGCATTGGCCAGACTTGATCCGGGATACTTTGAAGTCTGCCTTGAGCCCAGAGAGCATCCAAGACTTGATCTGCAATGTCGACGACACCGAGCAGCTCTTGGCAGTGCATTGGAGACACACCATAGCCACAGTTCAGCGATTCTGGGATTATTCTACTCTGTATCAGTTTTTTCCCTGGCGATTTTTCATGCTCCTCGATTGCAATCCCGATGTCGCCAATCGGTGTTTGAAGGAAATGGAGTCAGAGTGGGTTTTTTTGTGTCGAATGGAGGAGAAGTGTCGCGATGCCAGCGACCAGTATCCTCTCAAAGCCGTGCCGCATGTACGATGGCACGTGTATCGTGAGGTTATGACATACTGCCAGGAGAGGCGGTGGCGACTGACTGACGATCTGAAAGACCTGGTGCGAGCTTGGCTCGCTGATCCTTCGAGCACATTGGGCTGCGAAAATTGCTTTCGCAGCCTACGTCTGGGAGAAAGAGGCCAATCTGGAGGCGAAATTGCGCCTGTGCAGCTGCAAACTGCATCGATACAGGCAGTGGCCGAGCGATACGAGAACTTCGAGACCATCTCTCCATCGCCATCTCTTGTGCATTCAGTGCCGATGAAGCAAGTCATCAAGACTTCGATTTTCACCGCGAAGCGCGACACTGCAGCTGACACAGGATTGGAGAACTTCAATGCAATCGCTCGCGAGGCGGCTACCTCGCCTTACCATTTCAATCGCAAAGCCTTAAACGTGTGGTCGACATGCAAGAGGCTGGACGGTGATATGTCCAGAACCTGGGTCACGGAGCTCGCCAGGCCTGCTCAGGTGCCTCGTCCAGGTTTGCGATGTCGTTCTTATTTCATATTACTGCTTTTTTACAATCGATTTCAATATTGGGGTCGCCGAGTTAGTTGAAACCTTTGTTGATTTGGTTGCTGCTGCTTATTTTGTCCAGGTCTGGCAGTGTCGACAGGACTTGTTTCTCGTGGTGGATGCTCCGTACGTGGTGCTGCGAGTCTGCTCTTTGCTGAAGCAAACGAAGGTGGTCGATGGCCAAAACCATCATGTGGCTGTCATCCCAACCAGTGCTTTTCAGATGAAGGTCGGATTGCCTAAAAATTTGCACATCGCTGCTCCTAATCCATCAGATTGTCTAGGGGTACTAATATGGTTCTTGCAGAGTCGCCTAATCCTAGTAGGTTGCAAGGGCTTGTGCTGGTTGGGTCGCTGACTGCATGCAATAACTGGATTGTCCGAGTGCGAGCGCCGAAATCCCCAGTCTTTCGACAGGCAGTTGCCATTGAGTTTTTGTTCCACGACAATGACCCTGCTAGGATATCAACCCGGCCGACCCCGACGATTGGTTTCTGCTGCCTGCCGAGCCCATGCTGCTGAATGCCAGAGAGATGGTCTTGAAGCTGGGAGATCCGCAACCTATCATCAACTATGCCTTGGAGAACTATGCATGCAGAGCTTTGGCTGTGCATCAGTTTGGTACCCTTGTGGACGGCTGGGCACATTCCAGAGGTTCCAGTTCTGTGTACTTGCTTAGGTAAGAAGGTTAGAAAATGTAGTGTGATAGCCTGCTCGTCCTGTCGATTGCGACTTCTCAGATATCCCCTTGTCGTTGTCTAATCTCCATATGCTTCGCCAGTTGTTTGAACAGTTTTTTATAATTCCAGAGGAGACCGATGCCATATCAGCTGAGGACTTTCTGCCAATGCGTTGCGGATGCTGTGCACTGCTAAAGGGAGTCCTGCCAAAGGCAACATGACGAAGAAAGCAACGTGCGAGCATCTCTTGAAGCACATGGGCTATGACGAGGGCAAAGCAGCGAGCATTCTTGCAACCTTCAAGCAGACGACCAAGGCCACCGAGGAAATGGAAAACGATGATGACATTGATGATCCCGGTGGAAACTCGGCTGTGCTGGGCATGGACACGGTCTGTGAAGCTGAACTCTTGAGCAAGCTGCTCTCGAGGATGGAGAAAAAGGAGACGGATGCAACTGCAGCGCCTCAGAATGACAAGGCTTCTGCCTCTGCACCTCCTTCGAAACGTGCAAAAACTTCGCGGGCCGATGCAGCTCAGCATGGACAGTCGTCGGTGATCCCATGGCCGGCGGAGGAACGTGGATCCAAGGAAGGGGCGGCCTCCATTTTGGAGGTGCCGCCGGGTTGCCGGATTGGTCACAATGCACCCCTTGCTGCATCACCATTCTTGCAAGGATTTCTCCCGGAGGGACAAGTCTGGAGGAATGGAAAAAACAGCATATCCCGAGCTTACAAGCCTGCATCCACAAGTTCGACGGTTTCCATTCGTGTTGCTCGCTCTTACGATCAGGCCAAAGCAGAGGTTTCGGAATGGCTTTGGTCGTGGTGGGAGGCCAAGGGCAAGCCCGGATGCGGTACAGAAGCCGAGACATCCGAGCCACCGGCCCGACCGGCCAAGCAGCAAAAGAAGTGAGCCAAGGTACAAGAGTTGTACTCAGTAATGTGCTACAGTAAGATGCTGTATTTGCAAGGTACTGCTTGACTTGGCTTCGGCTCGCTTCACTTGTGCTGCAATCGCATGCTTCGAAGTCCTGTGCTTGCGAGTTGCAGAAACTTCTTTATCGCATGATCTCTCCCGGTATGTGTGATTTGGCCTTTGGTTCGCGAGGGGAGGTTCTGGCTTCAGAGTTTAGTGTTGAGGGATCGGGATGTCGAACAGTTGGAGTGCTTATGTACTGTTGGGCAGGTTTGGCGCTCTTGCAACCCTGAACGCCTCAAACCCTGAACACTGTAATCTTGCATACTTTCAAGTGTGACCACCCTGTACATTAAGTCCACGAAACCTGCTGAAGCCCTCAAACCCTTCACAGCCGTAAAGCTTGGACTTTGTCTCAAACCCATGACCCGAAGCACGAAAAACCGATAGACCATGCCAGGAGAGTGAGCTGCCAATCTTTGAGCGCCGACGCCGTGCTGGGGTGTGATGGCTCTGGGCTTTAAACATGGGGTTTGCAAACAACAATAATTGACAATAATCAACGAACTTGAAACCTCCGCTGGAAAATAGTAGAAGCCCTGGGTTTAGCCATAAGTCGGTTGAAGGATTAATTTCTGAGCCCGTGTGCTGCAATCGTTTCACCTTAAAGGGGTGAGAATTTCCGACATTGGGCTGCCGACAAGTTTGCTTCGATCATCAACCCTAGCCTAAACCCCATTACCCCTACACTAAGCCCCCACCGGACCCTAAAACCTTCCAAAGCTTTGGTTCGACGTCTTTCGCATTGCAGGATTCTCTTCAGGGACTTGCCTGAGCTTCATTTGGACTTCAAGCTGTAGGAATTAAAGACACATAATAATAATTTGGGATGGAGACTTTCTGGCAAAGGAGACCTTTGCCTTTAGTCGCGGACGGTGGCAGCAGAAAGGCTTCTCGAAAACATGCAGTTTCATCAGACTCAGGTCGACCCGGACTTAATTGACTTTATTGGCCCGCAAAACTAAGCCCCAAACTCGAAATCCCACATGGCTCAGGGTTTGTCAGTTTTAGAGCATAGGAGTGCTTTCAGGAAACATTTTCTTGTGAAGGACCTCATGGTTCACAGACTTTTCGGGGCCAAATTCTGCAAACCTGCAATGTTACAGGCGCAGGGCATTAAGTCGTGGATTTTAGGGATTGGTGTCAATAATTGTTGAAAGGTTTACGGTGAAGCAGACTTCCCGAAGCTTTTGTAGGACAGCCGTATCGAAAGCTTTCATTATCTTAATACCGAACGTGAGGGCCAAAACCCTAATCCATAAACCATAAGTCCCAGACTCCAGACCCTAAAGCTTCGGTTCGTTGTTGTAGTGGGGTCTTGTTTAGTTTTCGTTGACTTGTGAGACAGCTGATGGAAAGATTTGGTGGCAAGTCTGCAATCATTTACAATTCTATTCTGTTGTGCAGCAGTCGAGGCCATGCCTGCCAAGGATTTGTGTACGTTACTCCTAAACAAACGATGCTTTTGACGTGCGCCTTGTTGGCCGCTGCTGGCCAGATACAAATTCGCAGCAACCGACCCAATTATGGATCGTCCGGTCTTCGTCCTTTCTTATTTTTTGGCCTCCCTTCAGCAGGTTGCTACTGTATGCCGTTTCCAGAAGCCTTTATAGCAGCCCTACAAGCCTTGAGAAGGCCACGTTACTCGGAGGAAAAAGGCGAATGGGGAGCCGGACCCCAGATTTTGTTCTTCTGTTAGTTGTATTCCTCTTAAATGTAGTTGATATAATATATCATCTACTGAAACATCTTTATTTTTCCATCTATCAATATTTTCATTATAATCTATTGTTTCCTTATGTTTTCTGGATTGTGGGGGCACTTGGGTTTCATCATCATCTTCTTCTTCTTCCTCTTCTTCTGCTACTTCAGTAGGTGTTTCTAAAGGTGGCATGTCGCGAGAGTTCGCGAGGCTCTGCCGAGCGTCCTCATCTTCTCTTGCATCTGTTGCCATTGAATGAATAGGAACACCCGCGGGTAAAGATTGACTAGCAGCAACGCTTAAATCACTTCTTGCGGATGATGATGATGATTGTTGTGCTTGTTGTCTCCTTCTTTCCCCTGCTTCTAATTCTGCCCTTATTCTAATAATTCGCTCTGCTGTCATTCTATAATCATCGCTGTCTGGCGTTTCAAATCCGTCGCGAAGGCTCGCGAGGCTCTGCCGAGCGTCGGCGTTGTAAGCACCTAATGGAGTTCTACCACCATAACTTAAAATTCCCAATGACGACCCAGTTCCCATTGCCGTTTGTCTTAACTGTGTTTGTCTCATTTCATTTTTTACTTTGTCGTCTTCCTGTTTCTTCAATCCTAGAAAATCAAGATTATCAAATTGACTTCCAAATTGATTATTTCTAAGTAAAGTTGCCTGTCTATCTATAATAGTTTCTATGGGTGGTCGGTTTTCTTTGTCTTGTTCATTAATCATTCCTATCATTTCATCGTAGGTCGGTCTCAATTGTAATTCTGCCTTCAATGTTTTAATCATATAATATAAATTAGATTATTTCCGCCATTATATCTTTTAATTCTTTTTTGTTTCTTAAATAGTTCTTCCTTTGTTCTTACTGGCATCATCGGTCTTTCTAACTGACGATTAACATCGTCTAGTTCTCCTTGGTATAAACTCTTTTTCTGGTGTTGTAACCAATCGTTACGAAGTCTAATATTTTTGCCCCTGTTCTCTGCTTCTTCAATTCTCATTTTCATATCTTCTAAATACTTCTTTCTGCTTGCTACTCCTATCGTGTCACTTATATCACAGTATTGTTGAACCTGTGGCATTCTCCTAAATTCTGGTTTGCTTTTATACATACTCATTTTTAATATTAACTAGATTTAAAATTAATATTAACAATAATTAAAACATACTTGATTTAAATTTATTAATCTTTTCCTGTTTCTCTTGTTGCCTTAACCTTTTCATTTCATTATAGGACTGTTGTAGTAATTCCGTTGCTGTGGGTTGTTTCGGCGGTGGTGGTTTAACTATAATGGGTTGTTGTTTTGTTTTCACTTCAATAGGTTCAGAATAAGTAACCACTTCATTTTTAGTTTCGTTGGAAGCGTATTTCTTTCTCATTTCGTCTTCTATTTCTTTTCTTAATTTTTGTTCAACTTTTGACCCGTAACTCGCCTTTTGCTTATTTACTGGTAATGTTTCGGTTGGTTGTCCCTTACAATAATAGGGGTGGGTATTCTTTAATGATTTTGGTAGCATCTTTTTATTACAGGCGCTACATTCCACTAACTCTACCACCTTAACGGTTCTCGCTAGTTTCTTCGGCGTTGCTTTCGGTTTTGCTTTTGCTGTTGGTTGTGTATCTTCTTTGATTTCTTCAACGGGGGCTGTTATTGTCTCTTCTTGTTTGATTTGTTCAGTGGGTTGTTCTTCGTTGGTCTCTTCAATAACTTCATTATTAACTATTTCAGCTTCTTCTTCATTTTTAACCTCCTCAACTGCTTCAGCACTCATTATTAACATAGCCTACATTTTTCTAATTAGATATTTATTAATCCCTGAAAAAAGTTAAACTGAAAGAGCACGCAACATTATTGAAATTGACAGTCTTATTGAATTTATCTCTAAATCTAAACTGACACCTGCGTAGAATTTTACCACTACAATCAACATAATAAAAATCGTTTATTTGGTTGTCTTGTATAATACCTAAATAGGGGACTGACACATTTATTTTCTTGACTATTGATGAATTACCCGCTACGGTTAATTGGTTGTAGTTGCTTATTTCATTACAATGTAAATACATATTCTTTACACTAATCAAATCAACAAAGCCACTAACAAAAGGTAAGGCTATACCGTGAGTAGGTGATGTATCCACTACATTTAAAACTTTGTTTATTGAATGCAAATTACTAACATCAATACCTGTAAATTCGTTTTGATTTGTTATTGCTTCTGCATCTGTAAAAACATTAAAGATAAGATTAGCGTAATTAACTGCTATGGTTATTTTATTCGTTTTAGCACTATATGAAACTGTATAAGTATCGGTTCTAACAACATCAGGATTTCTACTATCAAAATAATCATTTAACCAAAACTGTATTCGGTCAGCAAGTTCAGCACCCGAATAATTGCCTTCATCAATAGAGAAGATGCGATAATCAATTATGTCAGGATTGACACCGTTAGGGTCTAACTGATAGAAATAAAGATTATCATTAAATCCCTGCTGTATCGAAAACCAAGAATGAGGAATACTTACCTCGTGTATTATACATTTTGTGTTTTCTTCCAACTGGACTGTTTCAGGCAAATCAATAACAAAATCTGAAGAAGTGCCACTGACTTTATAACTACTGTCAATATATATCTTTTTGAATTTGAGCATTATAATATTAATTAGGTAAATTAATTTATAAGGTATTCTATAATGCATAGAAACAAAAAAAGAAATGAAGAAATACCATACGAACCACCTCATAATAGAAATAGAATAAATGATGAAGTTAGAGAAGAATTAGCAGGTCGTGAAAATAATTTGTCCGATGCTATGGGTTTAAGACTTGCTTATGAAAGTCCTGACGGTTTATACCAAAATGGCACGAGACTATACATAGCAGGGACTGGTGGAGGTGGAAGATGGTTAGGTGATTTATACGATGACATTACAAAAGTTCCTTTCAATAGGACTAATGAAACACAAAGATTTAAAGATGCTAAACAAAAGATTGAAGAAGAAGGTAATGTAGAGCAAATAATCGGACACAGCTTAGGTGGTGCGATTATTTTACACTTGAATAAAGATTATGACAACAAATTTAAAACAAGAGTTTATGCCAGTCCGACAGTTTCATTTCAGAAGCCAGACAGGGATGATGAAAAATTGAGAATAAGGGGAAAATATGACCCTATAAGTGTATTAGACCAAGGAGCGATTACAGTTGATAAGGGAACAGTTGAGCCGTTT